GTAAGCGCCATATACTCAGTGTGACCTAGGAAGTCCTACATTCTGAGGAGAATTCTTAATATGGAGTTCTGTTTAACTGTTTTTATGGAATTATTAATTTTTTGAGTTCAGTAACAAAAGCAAGATAATAAGAAAATTACAGAAGTTTGATAAAATATTATGTGTAACTAGTCACTCAAAGTTATTTTCTTTCATACAGTACTTTTTCCCAGATACACTACCACATAAGCCACTTATCACATAGTTTTATTAAGCTACCTCTCTTTGTCTTCAGGTAAGATTCAGTAACAATATATACACTGAAAAAATGTCATATCACTTCCCTCTTGTTGGAAGATAAGAGACAAACTCTTACAACCTATGATATGGGTTGAAACTTTGCCAATCAATGACTCTTCTGTGAATCTAGACCATTTTTTTCTCAGAATCTAGCAATAAGACAAGTTATATCTTGGACTCTGGTGACAGCATGTAGATCACTAGTACTTATTCTGCCAAAACCTGGTATTGAGCAGAGCCCCTGGGAGTCCTACATAGCAATAAATGGGAGGGAGGAGAAGGGAGATCAAGGACAGCTTTTAAAATTGACTTTTATTCTACTTAAAGTCACACAGAATGGTATGACCCTGCTTGTAGACATCTCTCTGCGGCACAGTTCCAAGGAAATAAGTTCTCTATTGATCCTTAGCATTAGTATGGCTGTATTAAACGGAGTCCCTCCAATGTATTTCATAACAAATTGAACTTAAAAAAAAGGTCTCATTTTATCTGTATTACTGCTTCATAAGAGCACATTCACTTTAATATGATTGTCTTGAGACAGGGTCATTTAGGAGGAAAGGGTGTTTTATACTCTTCCTGATTATTTCCTCTTTGATATGTCTAGTGGTTTTCTTAATGATAGCATAAGATACATTTATGATAAATTTTCTAGAATATTCATTCTCAGGACTCTTAGGTACAGTATTTTCTATTTTCTTCTACTTATTTTCTCCCTTCTTTTGTGATACTGTACATTCTACTGCTTCCTTTTTCTTTTTTTTTTTTTTTGTTTGTTTGTTTTTGTTGTTGTTGTTGTTTTAGCAGTTTTGGGAATTGAACCCAGGGCCTTGTGCATGCTAGGCAAGCATCCCACCTCTGAGCTACATCAACAGCCCATCTCCTGCTTCTTTGACCTATTCCTGATATTCATTTCTCTTAGCTTAGAACTTACTCTTAGGCACCACACTAAAAGAAATGATCTTAAGTAATGCATGCTACTACATAACCCAGACTTAGTATATTTGGGTTAGTAGCTTTGGAAAGGCTCCTTGATGGTGTTGGCTTCTAAGCTAAGCCCAAAGTATAAATAGGAATTAACCCAGCGAAGGCAGGATAAGAATTCTGCAGCATGTACAAAGGTCTTGATGCAGGGAAAAGAAGCTACAGTTGAGGAACTACTGGCAATATTTTATGGTTTAAAAGTAGAGTGAAAAGATGAGGAAACATGGTAAATGAGCTGTAGAGATGAACTAAGGGCTCTGAACATGAAGAAAAAAAAAGTTCTTCTTTTGTTTGAAAGAAAGACAGAGACCAATTAAGGATTTTAATCAAGAGAATAACATATTTTAATTTATACACTAAGAAGTCTCTGGAAAAAAAAGGTACCAAATGGTTTGAATATGGTAATTTTAGAAATAAAAAGCACTAATTTCCATTTACATGTTGCCATTGTTAAATTTATTTTGGTGTGATACTGTAGTCTTCAAAAATCTGAAATGTGGGTCATTTAAGTAGAGTATAATGATACATGTATTAAAATCTATGCTAAAAGATGAATCTATTCAAAATTGGTATGTCTCGAGTCACTGCAAGCTAAAATCTTGTAGTAGTGAGCCATTTGTCCTTGTTAAGACAATAGGCTAGAGAAGCTCTTACCACATTTGCAACTATGTAGTTTTTTCATAGTAAAAATTATTGTTGAACAAATCCTTTTTCCTGTCAGTTATATTCTAATTAAAGTATCTAGTTGAAGAAAGGCACATTCATTTTGAAAGCATCTTTCAATACCTACATAATTCTCGAGAAAGAACACAGTTGATAAAAGTTTCTATTTTAAAAGTATTTTTCACAGTAGCTCACAGACTTTCCTGAACAAGTTAATTTGAGCATGAGATTATTGAGCTAATAGCAGATAACTGCTATGAATCTCCACTTTTATGGGATCAAACTAAAAAAGAGAAAGAAAAGGACTAGTAATGCTTTCTTTAAAACAAAAACTACAGCTCATTATCAATGAAAAGATTATAGTCCCTGTCAAAAAATTAAGTTACTCAAAATGGTCCCTTCAAAAACGATAACGAAAACTGGCATTACTTAAAGTAAAGGAGGCTGAGAAAAACACTTGGATTTCACTTTTAACTAGTGCATTACTCCTCCCGCAAATAGTATAAAATCAAAAAGAATTTTTCTGTCACCTTGAAAAATTGGCCTCAAATGTCCTTATATCTCAGTAGTGACACCATTCAGATTTATTTTTTAAAGCTAATTACTTGATAGTGTCAAATATTTCATTTTCAAATCATTAAATATTCATACTTTTACATCATGTCTTGGGAACATTTCATTGATTTTATATGCAAATAATATATTGCATGAATTTCATTGCTTATCACCTTAAGAATCAATTTCACTTAATATTTTACAAAAAATGTTAAATTTTCTATTTGAATTGTATCAAATGCTTGAATCATTTTATTTTATGAATCCTGAGCTTTTATTTTGCAAAAACATTGAAATAAGAGTATTATCACTTTTCTCCAGTATTGCTTTCATCAGCAAAATAGTTAATAGGCTCCTGCATTCCTTTAGTGATGGTGGTGGGCCATTGTAGACAATGGTGATGGAGAGAGAGGGAGAGAGAACATTCAAGCAGAGGAATGAGTCACAGACAACAAGCCTTGGCAATGTGGGGTATTTAGTATATGTGGAAGAAGAGGGAAAAAAGATACTCTGCCTTCTTTATGAACTTGGAGCAGATAAATAAGGTTGTGCACATTACCATTCACACACACACAAAAAAAAAATGAATGTAGAGAAAAAGGAAAATTGAGAGTGGAGGAAAAAAAGACAGAGAAGCAAGAAGACAAAAAAAAAATCTTTAAGAAATGCTATAATTTAATAATTAAACGTCCAGAAATTGATATGTTCTCCCCCTGCTGTGTCTATCTTGCTTCTTAGAAATTTTAGATACCCCAAAGGCATTGAGATGATACTGTGACCTCCTCTGGGGCAGCAGAATATTGAAGACCTTTAACACATGTGCACTTGTCTTTTTCTAAGCAGACAATGAATGACAAACAGCTGGAGGCTCATCACAGGGCTCCCCACAGCTCCTTAAACCTAAGTTATCTAGAGTCTGGCTAGAGCCAGTGCCCCTGAAGTTTATTGCCAACATGTGATGTTAAGAGTAATTTTGAATCTAATAGTAAGGAATTCAGCGTATGTATATGGAAAGACTAATGTTCTCATACATTCTCAAAATTAGAATATGAATATATCTTTCCCAAATGATGATTCTTTAAAGTGAACATTCTCTTAGTATTGTTAGGAGATCCCTAAAATCTGAGCAGGGAACCTAACTACTTTTATCTGTAACTTGAAATATGCTTTCCCATTAAAAAGAAAAAGAAAATTTATTAAAAAGTAATTTAAGGACATAACTACCTGGGAGCTAGTTATACTTTACATTAGTAAATGTCAAGTTTTAAAACTTTGTTAAGGTGAGTCAGTGCTGAGAGTATCAAGGTAGATCACTAAGCTACTCTAATGTGTGTTAAGGAAATTGTACTGAAATTGCTCTGTATTTTTTAGCTTGTGACCATGTGTCTGTCCCCTCCTTTTTTTTTTTTTTACTTCTCTCTTATTTGCTGCATATTTAGAAATTCATGTTATACCTAATATGAATAGAGTATTTTATAGAACTATATTTTAATACCAAGTTTGAAAAACTTAACAAGAGGGCTTAAATTTTTAATCCCCTAATTGTCACTAAGGCTGAGAGCGTAAGAAGCTTAATACTGCAATTTTGTTTTCTGTGATTAGAACTGAGAAGACCCACAAAAAGGCCTTTTTGGCATTGGTCAAATAGCTGTGTTGCCAGTCAAGTGACACTCTGATACTTTGGTATTCGCTTATTTTTTCCATGTTTATTTTTTTTTTCAATTCAGTTTTTGTGCTATGATAGAGTATGCATAACCATTTTAAGTGGACAGTTTAGTGGCGTTAAGTACATTCATATTAGTCTGCAACCATCAACACCATCTCTCTCCACTTTTTTATCTTTCACAACTGAAATTGTGTACACATTAAACACTCTATCTCCCACCCTCAAGCGCCCTAACTCCAGTTTGCAGCAACTACAGTCTACTCTCTGTATCTACGAATATGTGTCCTCTTATGGCTGGCTTATTTCACTTGGCGTGATGTTATGAAGTTTCATCTGTATAGAAGCATGTGCCAGCATTTCCATCCTTTCTTTTTAAACAATCCAGAATTTTAATTTATAAAAAATAACTGGTCAATTAATACTCATGGAAATTCAAATCAAGACCACATTGAGATACTGTTTGATACTATTCAATTGGGAATAATTAGAAATGCTGATGGAATTTGATCATTATATATTATATACATGTATTGAAATGCCATACTGTATGTTATAAATATATACAGTTCTTATATGATAAAAGTATGTACATATATAAGATTGAACCAAGTGCGGGAATGGATATAAATACAATCTTTATATACTTATAGGGGTAGGAGGTCGTGTAAAACGGTACAATCACTTGGGAATTTTTTTTTTTTTTTTGCCATGTTTAAAGTGAAAATAAAGTTGAGGGTTTCTAGAGCCTTTAAACTCTGTACTGTCAAATAAAAATGGTTTCTGAAGTATGAAGACTATTTGAGGTCCTACTATGAACAAGCAATATAGATGTTACCTTTCAAATTTATTTCAGGAATCTCTACTACAGGACCTCTGGGCATTGGAAGCACCACCACAAGTACCACCCTTCGGACTACAACTTGGAGCCCAGGAAAGAGTACCACCCCATCAGTGTCAGGAAGAAGGAACCGGAGCACCAGCACCCCATCTCCAGCTGTGGAGGTTCTTGATGACATAACCACACACATACCATCAGCATCCTCCCAGGTCCCAGCTTTGGAAGAGAGCTGTGAGGCTGTGGAAGCTCGAGAAATCATGTGGTTTAAGACCCGTCAAGGACAAATAGCAAAGCAGCCATGCCCTGCAGGAACTATAGGTAGGTCTATCCTAGAGAACCAAAAGTTAACAGTATTTTTGTACTTTAACTTGAATTCCTAGAGTTCTTTTATATTCTCACCCCCGCCCCTCTGTCTTTGGTTACTACATATTTTGTTACTTCATATTCGGTTGAATTCTGAACTCAGTTAAATTACAATTTAAAGCAATGTATTGTCAAGAGTTTGAAAATGCACTCTGCAAAATTCACAGGTGAGAATTGGGTAGGAATACTTGTTAGATCAGTAGTGTTCAGTGTGGGTCTTGGGGTCAAATTACAGTTAAGCTGCAGATGTTCCTGCTACTCCAGGGAGGTATCTTTTCTGTGCAGGGCTGAAGAAGGAATCCCTAATGGCTGGGTTTCCACATGGCATGCTTGTCTCCAGTGGTGAAATACTGGTTGCAGAAAATGAGGTCCAGGACATCTATATTAGAAGATCAGTGAACTGACATAGCATTTAACAAAAGAAATTTTCACCTGTTATTATAGTTGTCCCCTAGTGGTCAAAGGCTCTTAAGATTGTCAGGAACCATGCTGGCAGGAGCCACCTCCCACTAACCCACATTCCTGAGAGGGCAATCCCACACTGTGGTCTCTAGGCAACAGTGAAGAACTAAATAGCTCTTTACCTGTTTTATTCCTGACATATTTATCATATCTCCAAACTGTAATTCTGTTATTATTTACTATATTTAAGAAAGAAATATGCTGATTTTTTATTGTTAAATACGTTTTGGATCTTTATAAATTGCTACTTGACACATTTTAAAAAATTTGCATTATTTCCTAAAATATACAAATATTTACACAACAGATTTTGCAAACCTACCCTTCTTAGAGACTGTGTTTGGTATCGGATTTGGTTTCTTTAAGGAAGAAGCTTTTTCTTAGAAAGTTCCAACATGATATATCATTCCAAATTCCATGGTATATGAAGTGGTGGGAAAAACCAATGTTATCTTGGTTTTTATACAAGTGCACGTATATTTTTAACAAAGCACTTAATTATTCAATAATCTTTTTTTTCTTTTATGAAAAGGAGGGTGTATATTTATTTCTAAAGTTTCCTGTATATTAAAATCAGTAAGCCATTCAAACCCTCCTTCTTTCTCAGTTGTCAGCCTCAGTTCCTTCATCACTAAAAGAGAAATAACAACAGCCTCCATACTTGAGATATTTGTCCTGAAGATTAGTGAAACAACTTTATTTGGAAGCACTTTGCAGTACAGAAATATGCCATTATTGTTCTGTGAAAATTAGAGAAGAGGTTTAAAGAAAATCTTCTGAAGGCAGTGCAGAAATAAAGGTTACTGTCAGTGAACATCTAACTTAGTATATGCTCCTCCGTCCACTCTGTAATTCCTTGTTCTAGGCCCTCACAGCTTCTCACTTGAATTACACCAATAGTTTTCTCACAACATCCCCATCACTTCCTCAAATTCATCCTCCATTCTGATGCCAGATTTATCTCTGTAACACCGACATCTGCTCATTTCTCTCCTCTCCTTAGTGGTCTTCTTTGATTTTCAGCACCCACACATGATAGACAAGGGACTTTGCGATCTGACTTTGCCTCCCTTTCCAGCTCCATTTGTCCAGTAGACTCCAGTTCCAAAAACTTGGAGTCTCCAAAAGACAGCGTATATTTCCTCCACTTGGAATCTCCTTTCCCACCTGTTTTTCTGAAAGACCTGTGCACGGATTCCTTTGAGACTCTTCTATCCTGACTCAAGCAAGAAGGTCCACGTTACAGAAGTACCACATCGATTGAATTCAGGAAATTCTTCCCAAACCTTGCACAGTTGCAGCAAGTTTTTAAAAATAACAAAATGTTTTTGTTTGTTGTACAGTATTTTTCCAATGCCAACTCTTTGCCAGGCACCGTATCTGGAGTTTAATAGACATATCTCGATTTAATTATCTTACTTTTACCTTCATTTATGTTTAAGCATAGCAAGGATGTGGAGTCATTCTAAGAAAAATGGTTTAAGTATTCGAAACAGACATATTTCTCTCATTATTATAGGTGTGTCAACTTACCTATGCCTTGCTCCTGATGGAATTTGGGACCCCCAAGGACCAGATCTCAGCAACTGTTCTTCTCCTTGGGTCAATCATATAACACAGAAGGTAAATAGTGTGACTAATAAGGAAGGCTTTGCTAAATCTATATCCTCTGTTGCTGATTGTTAACTGTTGAAAACAAAACAGTCAGGAGTTTTGTTTTGTTTTGTTTTAAATCAATGTAGGAAAACTCTCTGTTTGCAAATGTAAAGCCAAAAGGTCAAAGACGACATATTGATTATAAAATAAATAAAAATAATAACAGAAATGAAAAAGAAACACTCTCTATTTTTTAATTTCAGATTTAAAGACAACCCCCATTATACTAATGGCTAAATTTTATAATTTGATGTTTTTAAAGTGCGAATCCATGGATTTCCTCTAAGCCTGATGGTATTGCTTATAATAATTTTATTATTAATAAAATTTCTATGGTATTGTGAACTACAGATGTAAAAGTCTAAGAGACATTAGGCCTCAAAGAAATAAAAGCTTCTAGCATATATGCATTTGGATTTTTCCTGTGGAAATCATAATTAAGATAAAAAAAGTTTACCTTTGGAATTTAAGCCATTTGATAAATGTTCTCTAACTAATCATTTATCAGTGCTAAAAGTATACACATGTGTGACAGAATCTTGCAGACTCAAATTTGCAGGGCCTATTTGGTTGCAATATGTTGAACATTTTTATTATTAATGCACTGTGGGGCTTTGAATTGATTTCATTACAAACAGAGACCAGATGTGCATTTATGCCAAAAGGGCTGTGAGATGGATCCTTATTATAGCAATTTATGTGGATTTATGCACTCCTAAAATGGAGAGTCCTTCTATAGCACATTAGCTATGCTGAGGAATTTCTGAAAGAGATTTTTCCTGAGAAATATTACAAATGATGGCCTTACTAAAAGCATGCCTGTGCCATTTGCTCTTTTCTCTATTTGTTTTTAACCAGGCTTATCCTCAATAATATACTGTATAATAATCCATAAATATCTACCCAGTAGATCATTTAGCAGATGAACCATAACTATCTATTTACCCTAAATCATGGAAGAACAGTGGCTATATTGACTCTAGTTACCCTCTTACATATACATCTCCATACTTGTTGCTATTCATAATGATGCTTCTCCAATTTCAGCACTATTCCTGCCACAGTTTTTATGTCCTTTGATTTCATTACAATGTAGCTCAGACCCCAGGGCAAATAACTCTTGCTGGATATATCAGATTAAGAGATCAGTAGCATATCTTTTTACATTAGCAACTTTTAAAAAATACTCCCTAGCTTCTTAGCCCAGGGGTTAATATAAATTCAATAATAATTCACCTACAAAGCTAAGTGTTTTCATGATAATTTCTGAATATGGTTGGACTATTTCATTGCAGAAATTACTGGATGACTTGAACTGATAATGATATTTAATTCCTTTCTTTCCTCTGCAGCCCTGCTAATCTTAGGACAAAAGAGATAATTCCTTTCAAAGACCAGACAGCTGTTGGCCATTTGATTTATGGATGAGATGTTTTTGTTTTGTTACATGGCCTGTACTTTCAGAGCATTTCTTTTTAATTCTAATGAATCTATAAGATTGTATTATATTGTATTGTAATTATATTAAAATTAAATAATTTAAGGAGCTGAAATTTATAATAATTCCTTAAATGTGTAAACTCTAAGAGGAGGCTTTTGAGTGCTCTGAATTAGCGCTTAACTCACCCAGGGTCCGCCCAAGTATATGTGAGGTTTTAGCTGGTTCTGCTTCCTCTTGACTTCACACCCTTCACCACAGTGGTTAAACTGTACTGAGATTACGATGGCCTTCATATCACCATGTTCACTTACCTAGGTAGTCTCTCCTCACTCTGTCCACCCTTACCTAGTTGTGTCTCTCATGCCTCCAGATATTTCCAAGACTCACTGAACTTAAATGATGGTTGAACAGATTTCTTAACCACAAAACAACAGCACTTTTAAATATTCGCATTGTAAACCTCCAAGAAAGGATAATCCATGAATGTTGTCCATCGAGTTATTCATTAGCTTTTTCCTCCCAAAACATCCTCCACATAAATCATTCCGTTCCTCATCTCTTTGCACATCTCAACACCAAGGTCCCAACAATAAACAGATGGACCTTTCCATGAGGGTGTGTTTACAGTGGCACTTAGGCAGTGAAGACAGACTGCAAGGGACTGAGCTGGAACCCAGAGCTAGTAATAGAGCAAGAGCTGTTCCCAACCTTAGAGCCTTGTAGATAAATAGATTAGAAATTGGAAGCAGAATGCCTTTGAGAAGTTCACACTCTCTTTCCATTCAACCACCCCACTGGCCAGAACCACTGGAAGCCACAACTGAGGGGCTTGCTTAATGAATTCTGTTTAAGTCCACCTCCTAGGGTAGAGAGCAGGCTGGAAGAGGGTGGAACAGGACCCTGAACTGGCAGAGGAAAGTTGCTGCCCAACACAGTGCTGAGCTTTTCTCTATTCCCTTCTTTAACTTTCTTCCTATATTAGTCAGCTTTTTTGCTGCTGTGACTAAAAGAACCTGACAAGAACAATTTTGGAGGAGGAAAAGTTTATTTACGGGCATATGATTTCAGAGGTCTCAGTCCATAGATGGTTAACTCCATTGCTTGGGGCTTGAGCTGAAGCTGTACATCAGAAGAATATGGTGGAGGGAGCAGCTCACATGATGTCCAGAAGGCAGAGAAAGACTCTACTCTTCAGACAAAATACATACTCCAAAGGCATGCATCCAGGGACCCACCTCCTCCAACCACACCTTACCCGCCTTCAGCCATTACTGAGTTAATCCCATCAAGGAGATAATTCACTGATTGGGTTAAAGCTTTCATAACTTAATCATTTCTCCTCTAAACCTTCTTGCATTGTCTCACACATGAGCTTTTGAGGGACACCTGACATCCAGACCTTAACACTTCCTTTCTTACTCTTTCTTCTCTCTCCTTCCTTTCTGTTTTTCTAACTCCTCTCCTCTGCTCTGAATTCCTACTTCTCTTTTTATGATTTTTTTCTGCCATATTTGAAAATTATAATTTTCTCACCAGTAAATATAATTTTCTCCCCAGCATCTAGAATACTTTCTTGATGAGAACTAATAAAAGACAGAATTTTTACAGAAAGGGAAATTTCTCCCAATGATGATATGTGAGGGAGGTCTTTAAATAGAAGAGTGGAAGGCTGGATGGATCTAGGTGAGTGAATGGATGGATAGATGGAAAAGTAGATCAAAAGGCAAATGGATAGATAGATAGTGAATACATATACCCTCAAATGAATGTTTAAAAGTGTTTTCTGGTTTCTATTGAAGGCAACAATTAGCTCTGAGCCTTGGATCCTGAAATATATGTGACAAAATATCATATTTCCTTACCTTCTTCAAAATCATAATCTCTGATTCTGCTTGATCTCTAGCTTATATTCAATTCTTCAAAAAGGAGTTTGCATTTCTACCTTGTGTACTTTTAAAGAATTAATTTCATTTTTTAATTTTACCAGACTTTTTTTCATTTAAAATTCTATCTTGAGAGCTGGGATGTGGTTCAGTGCTACAGTGCTCTCCTAGCATGCACCAGGCCATAGGTTTGATCTGCAGCACCTGAGACTAGATCTATGACATTACAGTTTTGAATTGCTTCCTTATTGTTTACATGCAAAATGAGGTGTGGCCTGGTTCAACTATTATGTGAAAAAGAATTATCTTGAGTTGTCACAGGCAATAGTCTCATTTTTTTATTTCTAAAAAATGGGTGTTCCTTTCTTTTATCTGTACACAAGTTATGGGCAGATTTTGAGAATGTGAGTTTCTTCCTACGTTTTCTAAACAGAAGTGTGAAGATCTAGGATTGATATTGCTATTTTATGATTTAAAAAAAAGCCAACTTTTTGTCCTAGGGGATTAGATTATAATCTGTCTTCTATATCTTAATTATCCCATTTTAACTTCCTAAGAATGAAATGTAATTAAATTGTTTACTAATTCTACCAGAGGTAGGTGGGTGTTCTTAGTCGGCTTTGTCACCTCTGTGACCAAAAGACCTGAAAGGAAGGAATCATTTTACAGGAGGAAAATTTGACTTGACGTGCAGGGTTTCAGAGAACTCAGTCCACAGACAGAAGGCTCCATTCCTTGGGGCCTGAGGTGAGGCAGAACATCATGGTGGAAGAGTGTAGTAGAGGAAGGCAGCTCAGGTCATGGTACCAGGAAGCAGAAAGACAGACACTGCAGAAGAGGACAAAAATATCTATTCTGAAGGCACACCCCTAACAAAGTACCTCCTTCAGCCACAACCTACCTGTCTACAGTTACCACCCAGTTAGTTCACGGATGAGATTAAGGCTATCCTAAGCCAATCATTTCACCTCTACACTGTTGCATTGTCTCACATATGAGCTTAGGGAAGACACCCAACATCTAAACCATAGTAGGGATTCCAAGACGTTAGACTTTTTAAACCTATCTTTACTTATAAGATAGAAACATTTTGTTTATATATTCAACTCTGATTTATATTCAAATAGGTAGATCTTTCAAATAAGTGGTAGCTACATAGCCATGTACTTAATATTATGAGTAATATTTTCAGAAATCATTTTTGCTTCTGATGAATGATTATTATAAGTTTCATAAAATCTCAAAGCTAATTTTAAAAGAAATTGTTTTTATTTATAGCAAAATTTAAAATGTGCTTAGTATCTGTTTCTGTCATTATTTATTGTCCTTAACTAAAGCTGCAGGGTTTCCCTTTCTGTTCAAGTCCTAGATATAATTCTCCCATAGCAGTAGAGGTTATTAACTTACTAATCCACAGAAAATTCGTAAGTTTCTCAGTAGGTGTTCTTATTCTGAATAAATCATTTTAGTAAAATTTAATGGATGATAATATTGAAGATAGATATTTTAATGAAGTCTGTAAGTTAGAAATGACGATATTTTAATCCTGCCCCTGGACATAGAAGACTTGAGGCAGATTGAAGATACATGGATATATTTTTGTTAGGAAATAAGATCATTGTAGTAGATGATAACTAGAAGGA